AGCATAAGCATGGTTTTGCAAATCCTATTTGACTTTCATGAAGCTTTATCTTACTTTAGAACAACAAAGAGCAGTTCTCATTATTTTGCTCTTAAAAATTAGCTTACCAGAGGCTGATGCTTCCAGCTACAGTACAAGGAGGCCAACATTGGCAAGCCCTCTGAAAAAAAAGAATTCTGCCTTGTCTTTGGGTTATATAGATGGTAACTCCCAACAATTGTGCTAGATCATGTAGCCTTACTTTATGAAGGAAGAGACGTACTTGTTTGGCTTTTTCAGTCCAATATAAAAAGGGAGATGGAAAAATCCATGGATAGTTTGGTTAGAGCATGGTGCTGGTAACACCAAGGTCACAGGCTCGATTCCCATGACAGCAGCATAATCCTGCATTGCAAGGGCTTGGACTAGATCAGTGTTTCCCAACCACTGTTCCGCGGCACACTAGTGTGCCGCGAGATGTTGCCTGGTGTGCCGCGGGAAAAATTAAAAAATTGAAAGATTTTTTTTTTAAAAGTCAAATTTTCGATTGGGGCGCCGTCACTAGATGACCCCTGGGGTTCCCTCCCTCCCTCCCGCTCTGCGCCTCCCTCCTCCTCCTCCTCCGGGGAGGCCCTTCCTGGCTCTCGGCCAAGGCTTGGCGGCTGCCACTCACTCACTCACTCGCTCGCCCACCCGTCCCTCCATCCCTGCACCCGGCCTCTCCCCCTCCGTCCCCGGCGCGGGGGCTGCCGGGATCCGTAGTCCCCTCGCCCTTGGGCTCCGCGCCTGCGCGGGGTGCGCGAACTACGTTTCCCAGCGTGGCCTGGCGGGCCGGGCGTTTTGTTTGAAGCGCTCTTCTCCCGGCCATGGAATGAGCGCAGCGGCGGCGGCCGGGCGGGCAGGGGCTCTTCCGCGCAGACCCCGCGCAGCCTGCCTGCGCCCCCTGGAGATCGGGCGGCAGGATGGAGCCCGGGGATCCCCGCGGAGGCGGAGCGGCGGAGGCTGCCCCCCAGGTAGGGCTGCGTCGGGGGTTTTTTTATTTTTGCAATGCTGCATCCGCGCCGGAGGGGACGCATCGGACCGCGGGGAGACCCCTTGGCGGGCGTGCAAGGCAATGCATGCATGCAGGCGTTGCATGGAGTGCAGTGCAATGCAATGGCAACGCGGCGCCCTGCATGCATGCATGCAACTTCCACCGGCGCTCCGGACTTGGCAGGTGAGGGGGGTCCCCAGTGGGCGGCAGAGAGAGCCGGGAGGGCGAAGGGGAGCCGGGGGGGAGCAGCGCTGCTCCCCGAGCCGAGCCCGGGGGAAAACTTCGGCGTCGTTGCGCCGGGTGTTGGAAGCGGAGGCTGGCAGGGGCCCCTCACCTGCAAAACCTGGTCGCCTCTCATATATTTTGTGCATTGCATTCATCGCCCGCTTTCTCCTCCAAGGAGCTCCCGGGGGCGCGCGTGGTTCTCCCCGTGTTATCCTCGCAACAACAGCCCTGCGAGGTGGGTCAGGCGAGTGGCCCAAGGGAGCACCCAGGGATTGTCCTGGCCAGGTGGGGTGATTTGAACCCTGCTCTCTGCCCGGTCTTCATCCTCATGTGCATGACTGAGGTTTTCCCCCCTCGTCTTGGCTATGGTGTGAGTCTGTGCTGTTAATTAATGGGGTTCTGCCTTCGGAGAAGATAAGCCAGCCCTCAAGGAGGTGATTATGTAATTTGCTAGCAATTCATGTCCCTCCCGGCGTGACGCTGCGCGCTGACGTCATGGGGCTGTAATGGTGGTGTGCCTCGAGATTTTTTTCATGAAACAAGTGTGCCTTTGCCCAAAAAAGGTTGGGAAACACTGTAGTGACTAGATGATCCTCAGGATCCCTTCTAGATCTACAGTTCTAAGATTCTGTGTGCCATAGACACCATGCATGGCAATATTTGGTAAATGGATGCCTTTATTCATGAGCAGCAAAAGGGATCAGTAGATGTTTGGTGATGGAAAAAATTGCATACACACCAAATCACACTATGCTAGCCCTGATGGAAGAATTGCCAAGATTCTTAAGGTATACTGGTATAAGGAAATTTAGGACTTTAAAAACCAGTATCTTGATTTATTATTTTTACTCCCAACAATTTTTACTCCCAACAATTGTGCTAGATCATGTAGCCTTAGTGTTTTTATAGTTGATGTGATTTTGTGTGGAGTGCCCTACCTGGGTGGATGGAGCAGCCAAGTAATTTCGTTGTCCCCGAGAGGGGCAATGACAATAAAGATATTATTATTATTATTATTATTATTATTATTATTATTATTATTATTATCTCTCTATACTTTAGAGGCCTTCCTTACACTTTAGAATACATGGTTCATTTATTATTCCTTGCTTAAACATGTTGTTTTAGCTTCTCTGTTTAAAAATTACTTTCCAAACATACATTTTTCATTAGTTCTACAGTTTCTTCTATATATATACACACACAAACATATATATGAGAACAGTTTTAGATAGACTTAAGCAGGCAGTTTCTGCACTTGACCAAGCATGGTTTAAATTTCATAACTGACATTTACTTGCCTAGTATCCTGTTACAGCATAAGAAGCCAGTCTACAAGAGTGGCTGTGATATAAATATAGCTTTTCAAGACTTCTTGCACTTTCTTAGACAAGGTCATATAAATCTGATCTCTTATTCAAATTATAAGCCTGTTTTATAGGCAGTTTATAGGTAGTAGGCAGTTGTAACATTTCCTCATAGGTGTTTTGAAACTTTTTCAATTCTCTCTTTTGAAACGTGAAAACCAGAACTGTACACAGTACTCCAAGTGCAGTTGCGCCAAAGATATGTACTGGCTCAGTTTTTCTCAATTCTTTATCTAATTAACCCTGACATGGTAATCATTTTTCATAGGTGTCATACATTGTGTTGCCATTTTCATTGAACTATCCACCACTGCTCCTAGCCAGTAACTGCCAGTTCAAAACTTGAAAAAATATACAGTGGTACCTTGGGTTACATACACTTCAGGTTACATACGCTTCAGGTTACACACTCCGCTAATCCAGAAATAGTACTTCAGGTTAAGAACTTTGCTTCAGGATAAGAACAGAAATCGTGCTCCGGTGGTGCGGTGGCAGCAGGAGGCCCCATTAGCTAAAGTGGTGCTTCAGGTTAAGAACAGTTACAGGTTAAGAACGGACCTCCAGAATGAATTAAGTACTTAACCTGAGGTACCACTACATCAAATTGTACATCACCTCCAGAACGAATTAAGTACTTAACCTGAGGTACCACTGTACATCAAATTAGGATTTTTTACCCCAATGTACATCACTTTATACTTGCTTACATTCAATCAATCACATTGGCTATTTTGATGCTCATTCATCCAATTTGGAAGGCTGCTTCTGGAGCTTCTTTCTGTTCTTACTGTCATAAACAATTTGGTATCGTCAGCAAACTTTGCTACCTTATTGCTCATTCCTAACTCTTTGCCATTTATAAACAAGTTAAAAAACACCAATCCAAATAATGATCCTATTCTTACATCGCTTCTTTGTAAGAACTCTCCATTTATTCCTACTCTCTGCATCCTGTGCTGTAGACACTTACTGGTTCCTAACAGGACCTGTCATTTCCCCCTAACTGCTTATGAGTCTTTGATGGATATTGATGCACCAGATAAGCTCAGTATAAGCTTAATATTGGATTTGCCTTCCGCATAGCAACGGTCACAACTTTGGCGGAGAAGCCATTGCATGAAATTCTTTAAGTCTAACATCAGGCGGGGGGTGCAGTGGTGCATCAACGCCACTACAGAAGAGTGCAATAAGAGGGTACCCCTTAGAGGAGTCTAGTTGGAAGTCTCTGTCCAAAAACCTAGGTGTATGGCAGATGGGCCACAGAGCTTTCTTCAGTGGCTTGGGAGGGTCATCCGTGTAGACCTGTGTCTTGGGGAGGACCAATTATTCCTAGTCTTGACTATCATGTGCCTGCCCTCCACCAGCCCTCCAATGCCTAAGCCAAATCCAACTTACACCTGAAATCAATAAAGTTGTGGCCTAATTTTAAATTCCAGAACATTGCCCTGTCAAGTTTGTTCAGGGCCACTGCATCAACTGAAATGCCCTCTGTGCACCAGATAAGCTCGATATTAACTTAATATGGCCATTATCTCGGTTGCACTGTTTTCTTCCATCAGAGTCGATGGACAATATGGCGAAGAAGAAAAGACCCTGTACCCACAGGGTGGACATGGTCTTTGAATCCTCTTTGAAATACCCTCTGTGCACCAGATAAGCTCAATATAAACTTAAAATTGGATTGTGCTGTAAGCTGACAGCCCTTGCTTGAATCAGTATATGAGCAAGCAAACAGCAGAGCAGTGGGAGCTGAAAGTGTTGGCAGCAGGGGTGCCAACTTGAATAAAATATTGGGGGGGGGCAGGTAAGGCCGGCCCTGCATAATAGAACACATGACGGAGTACACACACACCATTATTATTTCCCCTGCACCTGATATCAAGTGGATGCAGCTTGGCAGAAATAGTCTTATGGGCTAAATTGGGGCTGGGGGGCCTAATTAGATCTGCAGCTGGAAGTTCCTCACCCCTGGCAAAATGACTTGCTAGCGATAAGGGTAGCAATGTGTAAACTTCCTGTTGGTTATTAGGGAGGTTATTGGTTTGTTTTAGTTTTATTATATATTTTGTATTCTCATTTTCTGTTGTGAACCATCCTGGGATCTTTGAATGAAGGGTGGGATACTACCCCCCCATACAATATCTACTGGATATGCTCAGAATGTTAACATCTCAAAGATCTCTAAAAGGTTAGTTAGACAAGACTTACCCCTTGCAGAACCCATGCTGTTTCTCCTTCAGCAAGACTTATTCTTCCTTATGCTTGGCTATCATAGCTATAACAATGCTTTCCACCACTTTCCCCATGACAGACATTAATTTCTCTCATGGATGGATGCCCTATGGATCAGCTGATTTGGCAGTTTTTATTTCATCAATGAAGTCTAGAATTTCATCTCTTGTCACCACTGTTTATTTCAGTTCCCAAGATTCCATTCCTTAGAAAGTTAGCTAAAGCACAGGGATCTTTTACATCGTTTGCAGTGAAGATTGAATTCTTTGCATCTATGCAATCTCCTTTTCCTCCTTTAGCACATCTTTGACTCCTTTGTCATCCAACAGTTGAACCGCCTCTCTAGCTGCTTTCCTCCTTTAATGTATTCAATATTATTTATTGTTGATCTTTTTTAAAAAATATATTTTTATTAAACAATTTCAACATAACAAACTATCAGTCCAAATAGTCAATTACATTATCCCCACCTTTTTTCCTCCCCATCCCTCCCACTCCCGCTCACCAAGGACTTCCATCAGCTTCCTGTGTGTGTTTGGCAAAGTTTGCATTCCTGCATTACTATATTACTCTTGGGCCCAGTATTGCCACCCACAGGAATTCCATGAAGGAGTCTGCCCTATGGGGATTTCTAGTTTGCTTGCCTCAAAATCACTGAGGTACAGAGCAACACCACCTCCAGTGTGCCCTTCCCTATCCACTGTATAGTGTTCGTATCTCATACCATGCCTACCACATTTCCATTGTGCTCTCTGTGTCCATGCTCTCCTTTAAAACCAAGCACTCCATCCATCTTTATTCTAGCCAATCTCTAGCATGCACATATAAACACCTATGCCAGCTCTCTTTTTCCAAATGTCTCTGGCACATGCGTTTCACCTTATGGAATTTGGTATCATCTTCTCCCATTTGGATAATCAAACATTTTCACCCACATCTCCTAGGGATGTTTTATCCTGAGCCTATACTTCTCAGCTCCTGTTGGCTTTCCCCAATCAGTTCAAAAGCCGCTTTGCTACTTTTTTAGTTTAAGCACCAACAGTCTGGTCCCACCCTGAATGGATATACTCTTTAGAATGGAGGGGAGGAACTGATAAAAGTACACACAGCCTGGTTTATTACAGCTCAGGTGAGAGAGCTCATGCCAGTTTACAATTCTCATACCCCAACTGGGTTAAACTCAGTTTCTTTACTTGGTCTTAACCCTCCACCTCCCAATCCAATTTAGAGCAAGGAATAGAGCTTGGAAAATGCAACTTCATATGTGTGTATGCATGTATGTGTGTGTGTGTGTGTGTGTGTGTGTGTGTTCCACATATTAAGACTGTCATAAAAATAGTCATGCTAAATATTGCTTATTGTTGTATTAAATCTCACCACCCAAAGCCAGAATAAATAAAATGTTTTCACATTGCTCCCAAAAGATGGCAAACTCAGGTTTTGGCTACTCTTCAAAAATTTAAGTTAATTTTTGTGGATGAGCCATTGCAAATATTGCTCTGTAAATTCATTCTATGTACTCCTCACATGCTTGCCATAATCAACTGGACCCTCTTGGTATATCTTAGACATTGTGATATGATGGGTTAATATTTAAAATATCATGGATTTTAGCTATCAAGGACTCTGTAGGTCAAGTCCATCACCTGCAGGAAGGATAGCACAGACAATGGGTGCTACAGACAGTGCACTGATTGTATTATTCACAAGGCTGAGAATGAGGTGGACCTGCTCATTATAGAACAGGTGCAGTTTTTGCAGAGTCTTCATGACCAGTTGTACACAAACATGCAGCAATAGTACAGGTTTAAGATTATGAATGCATGATTGATGATTTCAGACCCAAATCCCAGATAAAAGGCCACAGCCAGCTTTGCAATCACAGAAAGCTGCAGTTTTGAAAGTGGAGCAAAGAAACTTTGATGTGAGGCATCATCTTCATATTGCACTCTGATGTTTGTCTTTATGCACAGAAATGTCTAGGAATATTAGAACGTGTTTTTTGGATCAGACCACCTCTGTTAAGTCCCCTGCTTATGTATGAAACTGTACAGAAAGGCAAAGGCTGAAGATTTGTGATAGATTCTTGAAAAGATAACCACAATAATCCAAAATGAGGAACAGATTCTTGGTTTTAAAAATGATGAGATAAATCAAGCCATCCGTGTGTATCAACGTGTAGTGCAAGATTGAATCTTTTCTACAAGGACCAAGAGAATGCCATTTCCTACCTATGATAGCTTAAGGCAAGATAGAATAAACACAGCTGTATATCCATTCTTCTTGCTCATTCTGTGGCATCACATGCTGACAGACCTGCATACAAAAAGCAGAAAAAGGAAATAACAATTTCAAGAGAAAAATGATTTGTATTCGTGCAAGGACTATGGAAAGTGTCGATAGTTACCTAGGATATATTAACACACACACCCCATTTACTTTTCTTGATTTGAATGTTTATCCCACACTTCCCCTGTAACTAGTTATAGAATTACATCTATGTTTTGACTTTTGTAAATACGCTAGAGATTTACCTCTGGAATTCTACATAATTACCATATTTTTGAGGAGGCATTGGGAACTGCTGCGGGGAGAAGGAAATCAGCAAAAATCCACCCCCATCCCTCCATTAGTGACATTTCCAACTAGAGCAAAAGCACAAGGAGGACCAAGTGGATTCCACCCACTGAGGATTACTGGTCAAGCATCCTTTCCTCCATTATTACACATTGTGAAAACCCTGATCTACTATTGTGAAAAGCCTAGACTTTTGGTTAATGAAATGCATGAAAAACATAACTGTTCTACAATATGTGACAAGCCATTCAAAATATACCTCTGCAGCTGCAATGTGTGAAATGGCGGGCTGTGCACTGCATGCTGCCTCAATGCTCATATGCATGTATTTAAGTGAATGTGCACTATGGGTAATATGCATTCGTTCCCACAAAGTGACTGAACTCTAGTGACTCCGTGAAGGGAGCGAAAGTCTGAAAAATGACAGGCCTGGCAACTTGTGCTAACAAAATTTCAAAAAGGGAACCCTCAAGGCAAAAGCAGGGAGAATGCTTTATCAAGTATAGTTACCAAAAACTCAGTACTAAACCTGGGAACCAGTGACAGCTGGGTCATATGTAATAGGGAAACAGAACAGAAAAAGGCACAGGCATAGACACTAGAGGCAGTTTCTCCATCAGCTGTTCTTGCACCAAAACATCCACATTTAGAGAACAGTTTGGGGGTTTACTTTGGAGAGCAGTTCACTGGGGAAAACACTGAAAATTGTTATTGTGAGATCCATGTGTATAACTCTGGATCTAAGATGTCGTGAAATGAAGTTTATCCTGTACTTTGAAAGCATTGTGCAAACTTGTAGAACAGGAAAACAAATCTATCAATAGCATGAAATAAATACATATTTGGCTATGATGAATGCTGATACCCAACCATGGACACAAAATGTATTTTCAAAGTCTAGCCTATCGTGTTGTCTAGATTTTCCTAAAAATTTACTTTTCTTCTTTTCACGTGTTCAAGTCTACAAGAAAATGTTTTTAAAGAACAGGACATAAATGGTTGTGTATAACGTTTTGTTTACAGCGTATTACTGCACAGCTTTAAACAGCATCAGTTTTGTCCCTGGTTTGTTTGTGGTATTGTTTTATTACATTTTTCATGCTGTTGTAAACTGCATGAAAAATGTAATAAAACATGTAAACTGCCCTTTGGACCCTGACAGGTCAAAAGGCAGAATATACATATCTTAAATAAATCGATGCAATTACCATCATGGAGTTGGATGCCACTTCAACGGCAAAAGTGTTGAGCCCTCTATTACTGACACAGTTTCTACTTTGCTCATTGTTGAGGTGAATTACTGTTTTGCTTTCAGACTGTTAAGAGAAAAGGAACTTTAGCATAAACACATTCAGAGTAGTATCAATCCATGGGATTAATATTAATGACACTACAAGAAAAAGCAAGACCATTAAGAAATTATCTAAATACTCTCCATTGAAAAGATCATAAACCTAGTATTATCTATGGGAGTTCTGCTTTTAACTCAAGCTATACAGGGCAGTGATTTTCAACCCCCTTGAGGCCCAGGGCCCATCTTTAAATTCAACCAGCAATATCAGATCAACTTATTTTTGTTTTGCTTCTTAAAAACTGTGTATGGCTTTTTATGTCCCTATCTCTAGCCTTGAAAAACCCAGTAAGAAAAATAAAATAGTGGTTTTGACAGTGGTTTGTTCCAGTTGTGTCATGGTCTATCGCCGGCAGTTCAGTACTGCCAAAGGCTGGTTTGGGAGTTGACTGTCCAAGGAGATCATGAATGTTTGTGAATGTCATTATAGGCCAATAATTCTCAGGCTCCAGGGCTTATTAGTGGGCATCTGTGTATTTTTAGGTGTTTTGAAGAGATAGAAACTCACTGCAACAACTTAAGAGGAAAGCAAAGTTGAACTTTAAATTAAAAGTTGCTTGGTTCCTCAGTAGTGCAGTGGCTGAAACAGAAATATCCAGGCATTAAACCATGTCATGCAGGGCAACCTGCAGGGTGGTCATAATGGCCCTGAATAACCAACAAGCATTATTATTATCATTATCATCATCAATATTGTTTGTTACATTTATTTCCCACCTTCCCTCCAAGGAGCTGAGGACAGCATACATGGTTATCTTCCAATCCATTTTCTACATATGTTCTTCACATCAACAGATTTAAAATAAAAAATGGAGCAGATTTATAGTCTAAGGTGGGATTGTTGGCAACTAAGTGGTTAAAGCTGTTGTAGAGGGAAATATAGACAAGAGGACCTTTGCTATTTGGACTACTCAGCTTTAAACGGATTGCCATTTGTTATAGCATGTTTTAGTAAACAAAGTGCTTAGAAATATTTTATTATGGTAAGCATATTTTATCGTACGCACAAGGTCCTTAAATTTCATTTGTAAAGAACACTACAGAAAGTTTGGTCTATTTGCTTTTATCTGTTACTGAGCTAATGTGATATTGATTAGCCTGGATAAATAATTAAGTATAGAGTACACTGAAGACTAGCTGTTTGCTATTTTCCTTTTTTCATTTCTTAATATTTCATTGCTTATTTGGAATGGAATTCGTTGGCAATAAAATGTTTCACTAATATGGATACTGAATATATGAAAACTTGTAATGAGTTGAAATAAACCTAGTAAAGATAAATTGCAAAATATACAATGGAAATGCCCAATATACTAACTTTTCTAGTTCCTGAATATATACACAGAAATCAGGAAGGAGAAATGAAGAGTGTTCATTAGGCCAATTCACACGATCCATTTGATCCTTAAATTCAAACCTGTTCCCTTTCTTTGCTGTAAACCTGGTATAAATCTGGATATGGTGAACTGGTCATTAGGCAGGCTCCCCACCACCCACGTCCAGATTGACAGCATGCTGACAACAATCATCAAAGGGGAGAGCCTATCACAGGTTTGCTGACAATCTAGGCTACAAGTGGGGAACTTACCCTGCATCCTGCCCAACTTTGAGATGTAGCTGGGGTCAATCACCTGGCAACATTAAGATGTCAGGCAGCAACCTGAGAAGAGATCACCTATGAAATCCATTTACAAGTGCTTTCAATAACAAGCTGTTCTGCAAAGGGACTTCCAATTGATCCCTCTCTGGGCCCATCAGCTGACTTGAGCTGATGAGTAAACAGGCAAGAACACCCAATTGGCTCCACTGGACTGCCCATGCAGCTCTGACCTTGCCATCGCCCTACCCCACCTTTATCCTGTAAACAGCATTGACACAGTCAGGAAGGCAGCAACATAGCACTGTCCCATTGACCCAGTCACACCTCATTTCCTGGCTTTGCTTGGTCAGAATTTACTGCTTACTGCATGTCTGGCTTCAACGTGAGAGTCCAGCTCAAGTCATTGACAACAAAGACCCTGAACTAGAAGGGTTAGATTGGTCCCAGTCTGACTGTGATAAGTCAATGGTAAAAATACAAAAAGAATTTGTAAGGAAATGCTTATGTAAGGGCTGTTCCTGTTATATATATTTCATACAATACCTTGTTTCCAATAACAGATGTGATCCGTGTATCACTTTTATAAGTGTAAATAACTATATTTTCACTGGCATCCATCGGCTTAGCGTCTCCTTTATTAGCCACGCTCATACAAATGGCTGTCTTAAGTTGCTCACCACCTGCTTCCAGACAAACAGGTTGAATCCTGGGTTTGCATTTTTCTGCATAGACGCGAATGGAAAAGGGGCATGCCTATAAAGAGGGGGGGGGACATTTGTTATATCTATCATTGTAGATATCATATTTTGATCTATTCAATGAAACCAAATTTAAATTTTTGGGTAGGGGAATCTGAAAATGATCTTAGACCTGTTCTATTTGATGACCTAAAACTGCAAGATAGGCACAGCAATTGGTTTTAAAAGCCTTGAAAGCGCATTCCCTGGTTAGTATAAGCTATGATTGTGACAATGCTACATAATGCTCCACTACAGTTAATGCTAACAATGGAGCAGGGAGGAGCCTGCTGTGCTCCCCTGATGACTGAAATGGACCTTTATCTTATTTCCAAGCTATAATTGGGAACTACTTATCCTTACATGGCCATGGACAATATCTGAAGAGGTGGCATATGCATGCCAGAGAATATTCTGAGCTTCAGTTTTCGCTTCATCTGAAAAGCTGCTTTGCCTCTTTGGCCAAAGGAACTGCTGCAGCAAGAACCACCACCCAAATGCCAGCTGTTTTTGGATTCCATTCCATATTGTCAGTCTCATTAGTCCCTTTTACCCGCTGGACTGGAGAAAGTTTTGGATACTTTCCCTTTGGATAACAGATGTGATGCCTTTCCTTTGGGTATCTATATGACACATAAACTATAAATTAATTTGTTATTCAACATCTTTATGAACGACATGGATAAAGGTATCGAGGGATGCTCATCAAATTTGCAGATTACACCAAACTGGGAGAGGTAGCTAAAGCAACAGAAGTCAGAATCAGGATGCAAGGTGACCTTAACAGATTGGAGAACTGGCCCCAAGCTAACAAAAATGTCTTCAATAGGGACAAATGTAAGGTTCTACAATTAGGCTGGAATAACCAGCTGCACAAATATAATATGGGGGACATCTGGCTTGCCAGTAGTACTTGTGAAATGAGTTGAAGGGTCTTAATAGACCACAAGCTTAACATGAGTCAACAGTGTGATGCAGCAGCAAAGAAAGCTAATGCTATTCTAGGTTGCATCAACAGAAGCATAGTGTTTCGATCAAGAGAAAGAATAGTACAACTCTATTCTGCCTTGGTCAGATTACACCTGGAATACTGTGTACAGCTCTGGGTGCCACAATTGAAGGAGGATATTGACAAGCTGTAACTTGCGCAGAGGAAGGTGACTAAGGGTTTGAAAATCAAGCCTTTTGAGGGCCAGCTGAGGGAGTTTCAGGGAGCCTGGGAAAGGGAAGCTGAGATGAGATATGATAGCCCTTTGGATATTTGAAGATGGTTATCACATGGAAGATGGAGCAAGCTTGTTTTCTCCTGCCTCAGAGGGTAGGACCTGAACCAATGGCTTCAAGTTACAAGAAAGGAGATTCTGAGCAAACATCAGAAAAAAACTTTCTGACAGCAAAAGTTGCTCAACAATGGAAGGGACCCCCTCGGAAGTTGGTGGACTCTCCTTCATTGGTGGTTTTTAAAGCAGAGATTGGAGGGGCACCTGTCATGGATGCTTTAGTTGAGATTCCTTCATTGCAGGGTGTTGGACTAGATGACCTTTGGGGTCCCGCCCAACTCTACAATTCTATGATTCTATGATAACATGCAAAACTTGAAGCACATGCTTACATTACGACTTTGTAACTGGTTCAACCTAAGATCAGCCCAATGCAGCAAAAACATTACAATTGCACATTGTGGCTACTTCCCCCTCACCTTGCCCAACATTTATCATACCTCAGTCAGTTCCAATGCTTTGTTGTAGCCCATTGACTGCAAAGTCATCCAGAGGCTGCTAAGATCCCTGCCTTGTTGACTGGCTTCCATGAGATTCAGATCCATAAATCCCTGTCTTGTGAGTTCATTGTTCTTCATATCAAAATTCTCTATTTAATAAGAAAACATGAGGCAAATATTTTCACAGGCTACAGTGGAAACGATCAAAATTACCTGTATTCAGGAAAAACAAACATTGGATTCCATCCCTTGGCCCTTCCCAACCCTCTTTTCACTTTGCTGTTTGCCACAACTTGCTCCTCTCTTCCTTCCTTTCTTCACATTGCCTCCTACTGTAAGCTCCTTTAGGCAGGCCTGTGTCTTTTTGATTTGTGAAACTCTGTGAAGAACCGGCACTTTGATGGCAATGTTTACATCAGCAGTGTAGAACCTATGGCCCTCCTAATATTGTTGGATTGCAACTCCCATCATCCCCAGCCGTCAAGGAAATAATAAGGGAAGACAGGAGCTATCATATATACCAGATTCCCCAGCCCTGGTATATATGTCAGTAATTATAAAGGTTTGATTTTGCATCCTTGTGTTTCAGAAAATTTGTTATGAAATGTATACATGACAAAGTTATTTATTTGGCTTCACTGAAAACTCAACATGCAAGAAATGACAAATTTAATGAGTTTCTCTTGAAATTATTTGAGGCAGTGGGTGGAGTTTTATCAGCAAATCAATAAAAACCTTGGCCACAAATTGTGGTTCGTTGTATGGTCTCTTACGGCTTTCTTCTTCCCAGGGCAAGCAGGGAAGAGCAAATTGGCCAAGATGGGCACATTGATGGTAAACTATTAACTATGATATACTGTGATGCATGAAAGAGGCTAATGGCCAATCCCCATTTTTGGAAATAGCAACCTAGATCAATAGTAACCTAGATTTCTTCAGCAACAAGAATAAACACAATATTGGCTTTTAAATCAGTGGAAGACAAGGTAAAGGTAAAGGGACCCCTGACCATTAGGTCCAGTCGTGACCGACTCTGGGGTTGCGGCACTCATCTCGCTTTATTGGCCGAGGGAGCCGGCGTACAGCTTCCGGGTCATGTGGCCAGTGTGGTGTAGTGGTTAAGAGCGGTGGACTCATAATCTGGTGAACCGGGTTTGATTCCCCGCTCCTCCACATGCAGCTGCTGGGTGACCTTGGGCCAGTCACACTTCTTTGAAGTCTCTCAGCCCCAATCACCTCACAGAGTGTTTGTTGTGGGGGAGGAAGGGAAAAGGAGATTGTTAGCCGCTTTGAGACTCCTTAGGGTAGTGATAAAGCGGGATATCAAATCCAAAACTCCTCCTCCTCCATGACTAAGCCGCTTCTGGCGAACCAGAGCAGCACATGGAAACGCCGTTTACCTTCCCGCCAGAGCGGTACCTATTAATCTCCTTGCAAACTGCTAGGTTGGCAGGAGCAGGGACCGAATAACGGGAGCTCACCCCATCGCGGGGATTCGAACTGCCAACCTTCTGATCGGCAAGTCCTAGGCTCTGTGGTTTAACCCACAGCGCCACCCGCGTCCCCTGGAAGACAAGGTATTGGAAAGTAAATGAATACTGTATATAAACAATGTCTACAGTCTTCTGCAGTGTATAATTGTGGATGGGAAAGCAGGTGGTAATCCATGGTATGAGAATTGGATTGATACAAGAATGCCACTATTTATATCTATGAAATCACCATTCACTTTCATCACTGAGAGAGACTTTTATGTTATGGATACTGTGAGCTCATATCTTAGATAAGTTTGATTTTTGAAAAGTAATATGGTTCCAATAATATTCAGCAAATTCTTCTAGCAAATTCTTGCTAGAAAACCAGGTCATCAAGCAAATACAAAATTAAAATGTTCTTAAAGCACAGAATATTTAAAAATGGATTTCTCATCTTCATTACAATGCTAATTCTTTACTATGTATTATTTAAAAGAGATTACCAAATGAATAAATCTAAGGGTTCAGGTGCTATTATAAACTGCTTGAACTTTGTTCTCAAGATTTATGAGGTTCATCTGAACCCTCCAGCTGATTAATTGCCAAGTAATCTATTCACAGCTTTTGCTGTTGCTTCCTTTTGACGGGCCGGCTAATGTCTTCTAAGTATTGTTGCTATGTTTGTTCCAGAAAATGTAAGAATTAACGAGGAAGGGATATACATTCCCTTGTTCTCTGACTTGTGTCCCCTACTCTCAAATATATAAGAAACCAAATGCACAAAATGCAAAGCCAAAGCTGAGAACTTTATGTCTGCCCAAAGGCTTGGGCATGTCCAGTGAGATTTTTATAATTCCCTTCTTTGAGCAACAGATTTTGAGATCTTCATGGAAGTCCCCTCAATTTCAATTTCCCTTGGGCATATGGAATTAGTCACATGGTCCTTTGGACTGAAGCCATCATATAAAGGATGTCTGAATTTGTGCTCCTTAATGAAAACATAAAAAGCTCTAAAGATTTTACAGAGTAATATGAAACAGGATCTGTCAAATGATGAATATTTTAGCCAGAATTAACAAAGCACCGCAGCCTTTAAAATGTCTGTTTAAGCTGATGCAAGTCTACTGGTACACCTCATTGATTCCAGTTTCTATTTTGTGCTGTAATAATAACGAAGTTTCTCATAAGCATTAATGAATTTACCTTCATATCATCCATGTGTGAGATCATTTATTCTTAGCATGCAATTCCTAATTTGTGATACTGAAGGCCAAATTAGAAGTGACAATAAATTGAACTATGTCTGTGGATTATGAACAGTTGAATGCTTAGATGAAAGTCTCAGAAGGCATGCATGGTCATAGTTTTATCAAACGTATTTACAATCTAAAAATTCAAAACTGAGAACATACAGCACTCTGGATGAGTAAGGGCTAATTCAATTCTCTTCCATGTCAGGAAATGCAATTCCTGCCATGCATGAACTCATTACGCACTTCCCAACATTAAGGAGAATGAGGTGGCATGCATTTGTGCACACATGCTGAACAGACGTAGTTTTCAATGCGGTTACGTGAACCTCCTGAAATTTTATTTGCAATGAAATATATCTACATATATAGGAACATTTATGCAGCCAGATTTTTCCAAAGGCGTGAACACATTATAAAACTTTTTTTAAAAAATGCAGTTGACATGAATGAATGAATGATTATGATGACCAAGCAGCCAGCATAACATGGGCCCTTTCATGCAATCACAAATCTATTCTGCCTCCCTTCCCCCTTTGAGTGCCAATATCTAAATATTCTTTTTTATGTAATAGAACCTGTATAGCTCATTTGGTTAGAGCACAGTGCTGCTAATGCCAAGGTTGCAGGTTTGATTCCTACATGGGACAACTGAATATTCCCTCATTGCAGAGGGTCCCTTCAAACTCTACAATTCTATGATTCCACCCATTTTCTTTCTAAAAGTGGAAGATACTTCAGCAGTGGATTTCAAAACATGGTGGACACTAGTAGCAGGACATTTATGTGGAGGAGGATGGTAGGTTATGATTCTCATTTAACATGGAAAGCTCTGTCTCTATACCAGTCTAGAAGTAATTTAAAAGAAAAAAGCTTTACAAAATAATGCAGGAAATGTGCTGGGAAGTATTTTGGTGAAGTCATGTATGTTAATCAACTGGTGCCTTTGACACAAAACCATATTTCTCCAGAGTCTGGAGTGGTGGCACAACAGATTTGACTCTTACCTTTGTACAGTAGATTACATTCCAGCCATGCAAAAGTAAGAGGTTTATTCTCTCTCTCTCTCTCTCTCTCTCTCTCTCTCTCTGCATTCATACAAGCAGGGGCATTATCACAATTCAAGCCAAACAACAACAGTTGAGGAGGGTGCAAAACAAATTCAGTAAGGGGGTGCGATCTGTGAAGGAAGCAAGGTCTGAGGAGTCTGAGGGCCACATTTGGTCCCTGGACCTGTGCTTTTCTACTCCTGCTCTGCACTGTAGAATATGTGCAGGAAAACATCACATTTTCCCATTAACAAAATATTGCTGCTTGAATGCTGGGGAAATGAAAAAGAAACATTACCTTAGGGCAAAGACATTTAGATCCCCTGCAACAAATGAATAACAACTGTACATTTACTGTGCAATAAAATGACCATCTGGAATGCCCCCCACAACTGACACGAGACTTACTGAAGCTGCAAGAGTAGAAGCCATGAGGAGATAAAGCAGTGGAGGGTTTGCCCCCTTTTTTTGTTATTCTCCAACATAACCCCCTATTAGGGACATCTTACAGTCTGACCTCAGGCAAGAGCAAAAAAAAGCAAAAGGAAATGGGAGAGCTAGCAGGGAGACTGAAAATGACAGTCAGGGGACTGAAGGAGCTGCCTTTGATATTACAGAGATGCAAGCTAAAAGAAGAAAGAGGAAAGAAATGAATTTATGAAGTAATAGAAAGACCTCGTAACAACAGCACAAAGCAATAAGGGGAGGGGGAGATGACAAAGCAATGTATGTCACACAGAGCTTAAGATAGTGAATTCTATGGTATATTTTCATTAGAAAAATAACGTTGCCCGTGAATACACCCAAACTACATTAACCGTTAACTATATTGTTCCTTCCATGTAGCCTCATGCTAATGAACTGTGACTCTATGTAATCAGCATTTCTATTTAATCATATGATTATCTGAATAATATTGCCAAAGGCATTCAGATAAAAATGATGCTGCACTTGGGCATAGAGAGGTTAAATTTGCATATAGATAATTTCAGTGTTACCTTTGCATATGGCCCAAGCTTCTTCATCACACTTTTCTCCACTAGTTCTCATTTCAAAGAAGTTGTTCTCTTCCAGGCTGAGAAAGCCATTCCCATCCAAATCAATCATTTCAAATATTTCTGATAAGGCTGCTCTGAAAGGTTGAAGAGAAAAAGCAGCTCAACAGATTGTCTGCTTCCTTCATTTCATCCCTTGGACTCACTCATCAGTTCATTTCAGAAGACTGATTTCTTTGGGAGACAATTTTTTCAGCAAGATATTTTTGTTAAAATATGAAGAGCCTAAATTTCACAAAAGCTGGCCTGCCTTACCGGAACTCTTTGGTAGCTGTGAATTCTCCATCTCCATGTACAAGTTTGGCTTCTCTTCTAATTTGCTTTTTTGATTTTCTGAATCTACAGCCTGTGGTGAAAGGAATTACCCAATAGACACCACCTTCAAGTTCCCCTCTCCAACCAAAAACCTACCACAAAGGAAAAAGATAGATGCAGGATGTTTTAGATTTCTGACCGCCATCATTCTTTCTCCTCATACAAGCCCAACAAGTATTTGAGTTCATATCTTGTAGACCTTTCCCACATGTAGATCACATAGATTAAAAAAGGAACCAGAGATAATAAAGTAAGAGCCAATGAAGTGCACCGAATTGAGTTATGGACTCAGAAATGAGAAGCCTGTGCTCAAAAGCTCACACAGCATCATTGGCTTCACCCTCTTAACAAGGGCAACCTGGGTACACAAAGTATTTGCTCATCAATAAATCGTTATAAAATGTGGAGGAGAGCTGCACATTTCCCACTTCTCTAATAAAGTAAGATTGGAATGCAGCAGTGGGATTTGGGCCCAGTTCCCCTGACATGTTTTTCTGGGGAAGTGTAGCATATTTCTCATGCCTCATAACTACAAACAAACAATTGTTATTTTTATTTTATATGTTTATGTACCATTATATACTTAATGCTTAAGACAGTCTCTAAGTGGTTTACAAAGTAACAAATACAATATGTAAAACCTCGAAAACAGTGTGAGCATGGGGAATCTCTCTCACCAATTGTAGTTTTTCAAACACTGGAGAAGACAGCAGGTTCAGAGCTAACTTTCAGTGAGAAAATTATGTGTGGCCTTAGGATTAAACTCTCTGTACTCTGGCAGTCCTTGTACTCCTGCAACTACTTTTTGTAAACAAAGGGACGTGGCCAGTCCAAATATGTTTTTCAATCCTATCCTTAAAGTCACATATTGTTTGACCTTGATGAAAAGGGTTAATAGTGGCATTATATCACATACAAAACAGAGTACGCCAAATGTAGGGAACAATGCAATGGCCCTCCAAAAGAAATGTTATATTGAGGGAAGACATCAGCACTCTGCACCAGAAGCGGGTTACATATGTATACTTACTGTGCTAGCTAGCTAGCTAGCTAGCTAAATAAATAAATTGGACATAGAAGGCCTTGGACTCCTATTTATACTTGGTTTAAGAGAGTTCATATCTTGTAGACCTTTCCCACATGTAGATCCCATAGATTAAAAAAGGAATCAGAGATAATAAAGTAAGAGCCAGAAGAGAGAATCCATCCATTTGGATTGACTCACATCTGGTATAGGAGGAAATAAAAGTAATAAGCATTTGATTTATCTTAGTATTTCTACTACACTCACTTGAGGACAGTTTGGAAATTAAAATGAAAGAGTTCTGTTGCTTATTCAAGTTCACATTTATGTGTTGTGAAGGAAATCAACAGTCTTCTCAGGCCTAACCAACATAAGTAACTTTTCAACGGGATTCTTCAGATTTTGGCTTTTATCATCTGTTCACAGGGGAAATATTTGAAAAGTATATAATTAACAGTGTATTAATTCTGTTAGGAATAACATTACGTTTCCTTGTCTACTTCATTGATAATTTAGCTATTTTCTCAATGGCAAAAGCACAAAGTACCAGCCATTTATAGATATCATTATTAATATGCTACATATATAAAGTCAGTAAAGGTAACTTAAAAATGTCTATGACCTCTTTATTCCGTAGCTCAGTGAAGCCGACAAGCTGTATGTTTTCTTCAGTTTCATTTTCTTTGAGTATATACAAAGCTGTGTCCACCACTAACCAAGGAGAGGGTTTTCCTATCAAAAAGCAAGCAAAATTGTACTAATAGTCAAAGATCTGTCATTAGCTGAGTGATGCAGTTGAATACAGTGGTACCAAAAGAATCCATCGTGTTTTGCCCATTATCATTGTAAGGTCTCACATGCAGTGAAAACAGTTGCCATGCATGTTTGTGATTGAATGCATGTTTGCAGCATACAATCAATCAATCAATCAATCAATCAATCAATCAATCAATCTTTATTGTGGTCAGAGACCAGACAGCAAAGCTAACAACAGCAGCATATGCCGCAAATATTAACATTTATGTTTTTGGTTTTTTTAAAAAATGCTAGAACTAAGAATTTGCAACCCTGCAATAGTTACATTTTATCTTGGGCTGCTCCGTTAATCCCTTGTGCAGTTCTATTACAGGGACATCTGCCAGTTTTCAACCCTTAGTTGTTGTTTTTTTAAAAAGGTATTCTTACCTTCCATTTGGCGAAGGTTCACAGGATTAATGGTAATGCATACTGTAGATCTCTGAGATAAAAACAACTTATATTTATGACTAATTATCTCTCCATTTTCCTCTAAGAAGAAGCATCCTTTGGACTGTGCATGTTGCCATTCCTAGAGACAAATCAAATAATTAATATATAAGAAGTTACTTAAATCCTTGTAAGGCAGTGACTTTGCTAGTCACTCCTACCATCTGTTGGCCAAGCGGTTCTTTAAGTCTTAAAAGGTTAGTGTTCGATCTTCTTTTGAAGATGTATTTTCCAAACCTTATTTACTGCATAATTCTTTGGATAATTAGAAACTGGAACATTCCCCTTCAGAAAATTTGCTTGCGACAACAACGTATCTTGTGATACAACTTAGAACAGTACTGCTAACAACAGCAATAATATCACTTATAATTTATATGGCACTTTGAGTGTTGAGAGTATGCTATGTACATCATCTCAGTCATCCCTATAACAACCCTTTAAGGTTTCCAGTTTTATCCCACATTACAGACGGGGTTGTGGAGGATGAGAAAACAGTAACTTGCTAGGACAACCTTGTAAATTCTTAGCTAAGACAATGTTTCAATCAGGGACATCTCACTATTCACCCTTGTTGAGACTGCACTATATTGGCTGCCTAATAGTTAAATGCCGGAGTGGATTTGTATGTCTCAAATAACAGGAAAATTCAGCTACAATAATTCTGCAGATAACACTGTCTATGTTGTGGAAAGGATTGAAAAACTCAAAAAAACCCTAACTCTAGCCTGTTATGCTTCTGGAGAGCATAAGGTGGTGCTACAGACCCTGTATCTACTTGTAAACCAAGATAATATAGCATTCTTCAAACTGATATTTGCACATTGTATGGCTCATTTCAATTTGCAGTGCAGAGTGTGACATGGGAAAGAACAAAATGTTGAATAATAAGGAACATCCACACTCTAAAACTAAGATTAAATGGTGAAAGTGTATCAGGGAAATGGCCATGGCTTTTTAGCTTTGGGCACAATCAAATCAGAGAAAGTGCCATTCATTTTGCCTAAAATTCCCCATATATGATCCAATGAATTGAACAAGGCTTGTGGCTACAATCCTACTTACAGTTACTTTGGAGTAGGACTTGATACCATGTATGGGATAAAGCTGCATGATGCCACTCTGTTTGTTTAAGCATAGAATGACTTTTTCTACATGCCTTGCTAATTGACACTGCAAATTTAAATCATAGGAATGGTTATACTGGAAAAAGTATACTTGTCTATGCCTAAATCCAAGAGAAAAGTTAGCCCAAGTCAAGTGACAAATCATAAATGATGGCATCTACTGCTGTTTGAGATGAATTCAGGCATGGAATTCACCAGTTTTCTGGTTTACAATATTTCAGATGGATTTTGCTTTTTTACATATTCTTCTACATTTATTTCATAACAGCCTATTCCTACATTCACTAGAACACTTACCGTATAAGGGGATCACAGGTTCTATTGCTCTTTTATATCATATTATTACGGAGTTGCCTATCTTCAGTACAGGACATTTGACTAAGATGGATATTTTTGCAATTTATCACATACACTGCTAAACTTTATATTACATAAGTGGAAGGGCTCTACTATGAATGCTTTGCTGTTATTCTTATGTGGTAGACTGGAGGCAGGGTGGGGTTAAAGCATATAGATGAATGTTCCTCATAATTTATCAAGCTTTCCCGATTGTCAGGGATGTCTGCAATTAGAAATTGCAATGGCTTGGAAATTTATCATATATTCCTGATTTTTTTAATTTGCCACATAACCTGTGCATGCTGCAATAACCAGTGTACAGTAGACATCCAAGTGTTATTTGGGTTTCAGCTTTCTGCTGCACCTTGTGATGGGAAAGGAAATTCACATATATCCCCTATTTGAAGCTGGGGACCACACAGTTCCCCATGTGGGGCAAGAGTCTGCTTTCCTTCTTTGTGTATTACATGTAGTGGGAAAACAGTTGAAGTGGAACTGGTACCTAATGGTCTGAGGGAATTGTAGTGCTCAGAAAAATACTGGGAAATATCCAGACACCCCTCAGCTGATCCTGTCCTTTCTAGCAGTGCCCACCTGTTAGGAAACCAAACCTTGTTTCGGAATACTCCTGTTCCACCTGAAAAAACACCTCATGCACAAATAACTATCAGCAGAATACTATTAAGAGATACACAATGGGGTGCAAGTCAAAAGAACGACGATGAACTTTTATTAGCAAAAATTTAATAGAAACCTACTCAGAACACTAAACTCATCTTTGGGAACTTCACTATTTAAGCAGGGGGTGGATCACTCTTGTGATGACCAAACCGATCATTCGCTAACAGCTTAGAAAGCTAGTTTTCATTACCATCTAATAGGTTGTTGAAACTGAACCAATTACAACTAGTAGAAAACTACTGTATGTGTTTTTATAACCAACAACATATCATCTTTGAACATACTGGAATTACAGGCTAAATTGCATAGGGGTTTGGATACCTAAACACACAGAAAAAAATCCTTGGAGAGGATGCTTTTAAATTTTAATATAGAACAAATGTCACTGTCTAGCAATGTTAAAGATATAAAGGACTTCAGAGTTCAATAACAAATACAGAGTTGTTATTTGAAACAAAAATGTAACTCAAGAGAACAATCAGTTCAGTCTTCTAGCTGCAGTTATATTATGTGGTCATAACCATTCGTTCTCCCTTACACAGAGGTCTCAAGGTGCACATTTTTAATGTATCTTAGCAGTTTCCAGTTAATGTTTTATATTTCTCTAGCTATTATTTTCTGCTGAAAGAAAACTAGTAAAGGTTGAATCAGGAAAGGGAAAACAAAGGGAAAAGATCAATATTAACACTCTACAAATATTGACTTAGGAAAGTGACTTTGTTGTCTTTCTCCCTTAGGAATGGTTATTGAATGAATGACTTATTTAAAAGAAATTACTTGTAAAACTTATTAGTCTAAATAACAGTCAATATTTTCAGGCTACAGTGTATATTTACCAATTAATGTCTTCTGATCTGGGTACGTTTGAAGATATTTATTTCCAATTACCTTGCCTATAGAGGGTTGTGATATATAATCTTTCAGGCTACTTAAGCATTTAAAGTACTAATAAATTATTCAATTTTGCATTTCTCAAACAGTCATTAACAATTTTATCCAAGAGTGCTTTCCTTTATAGAAAAACATGTTTTGTTCTAGCAAACCTTCACACCTGAAAAATGATCCTAAATAACGGGATGTCAGCAAAACCAACATTATATAAAAATGTTTATAGTGTTTTGCAACCAGAAATCTCTGTGTGCTGTGTTGCTGCCCTTGACAAGCAGTTAATAAAACATAAGCTATAAAAGAGAGAAAAATTGCTTTCTATTTAAAATGCAATGTCTATACCTGGTGAGGGGGAGCAAGAGTCAAACTAAATTAACGAAGTCTACCTTTGCAGCATTTGCCTCAATGAGCTTCGAATGTTTGTTGCTGCTGGCACCCATACTGATAGTGGAAGACACAGATGCTTTGCAACTTGGAGCTGAGGAACATTGTGAAGAAGTCTTGCAGTGACCTACAATTGCAGAGTTTTATTTATAGCACCTTATTTATGAATATTTACATTCATCAAGTGAGAAAATAGATACAGAATGATAAATATACCTTATAGTAGTTAATCTGGTCTGGTAAACTGATTTGTGTTTTGCTGGGCCAGTAGATGCACTGGAAAAATTTGGTACCTGCTTTGATTTGCACTGAACCTGCCAAGTCTACTGGTAATGAATCTCCAACCCAGCAGCTGCCAAGTGATATTTGCACTAAAAGATTAGAGAATCTATCAAATCTATTAATTCAAACATTAAATAACCCATATCACAAAGTTGGTGTCATATAATACTGTGCTAAATCTTATCAGGGTAAGGCCAAATTTAAATTGTAAACTGCCCTTTTATTAAATAGAGTGGACATTCTGCCAGCTTTCGGTGAACCAGCCACTCATAATGCAGGAAAAGTTCATTTGCCAAAACACAACATATGGAAGATCTCTGGTCCAAGGTTTGTTCTTAGCTTATTTGGAAAAAAACAAACTGCAAGTTTGTTCAGAAGACATGAAAGCCAAACTGTAGCTTGCTTCTTCTGTGGCATTGCAACAGCAGCAGAAGAGTGCTATTGGGATATGCTGTGTGAATGGGGTCACTCAAACATTAATCAGCTAATGCTAGAGAAAGAAAAATGCTGAAATGAGGGATGTAGCAAAACTTCTTTTGAGCCTAGGGCTTTGGAAATAACAGAGACATTTCTACCATTGATAAAGCAAATATTTTTAGTGAAATAAATGAACACACATTTCAAAAAAAAGAGGAAAAAACTATATCCAAGGTGTCACGTAGAGGGGAAATGACGCTTCATGAACTAGAGCTTTCTTGCTTGAAAAATTATTACCTCTTTTTAGCATTGGTTTGGATTCTGTTTTCCTTGCAGTTTTTGGTATTGTTTTTGATATTAGTGATGTAGCCAGTTCTGATGAAGTCTCAAGTTGACTTCCAAACTGCTGACGCTTCAGTTTACTGTCAACCTCCAGTTTCTCTAGTGCGTGCTTCAGACATTGCTCATTGGTTGTCATATACAATTTACAAAACTGTAAACAAAACACACACACACACCTTGGTCTCTTAAGTATTTTAGAAGGAAAATAAACAAAGGCACTACTAAGCAAGAAATAGATCAACAGATAAAAAATATTTCTTCTGTTAGTACAATCCTCATCTTGCTTTCATGAATCAAACTGACCACTCTCCAGTGGCACAATAAAATGGAGACATGATTCAATGAGGAGATCATACCACTGAGAGAAAATAAAAATGAAAGGTACCTCAAGATAAGATTTATATTGTCTACCAGACATATTTGTGGACAGACTGGCTTTTTATGTCTAATTTTAAATGAAGGAGTTTTCTTTTCTTTTCTATGAGTCTAGATGGGAAACTTTAATGAACAACACAGTCATTTCAGATAAGGTAAACTCCAAGATTAACAAACTCCAGATAACATAAAATTAACAGTTGCATTTTTTAAAAGAACATTGCTTTAGCTACGGCCAGAAAGATAGTATTGTGATAGATGGCACAGCATACTTGCGAAAGTATTTGGAAAGAACAGCCTTTAATCAACACTTATTTTAACACATATACATTCCTTATCCTATTTTTCTTTGTTAAAAAAGGGATGTTCTTCTATATTCACTGTGAACTCTTACGAGAAAAAGACCTTGTCAATATAGCTCGATGGGATACTACTCCTGTTCTGACACTCTCTACACTCCTTCTATTTTTAAGTATTAAGCTTGATGTCTGCCATAAATATATAGTTGTATATAGGGTTGTGTCCAAAGGTTTATGTTTGCAAGCAGAACTGAATTCTGCTCACACAATGGGATATCACCTGCCTCTCCTCCCCCCGCAGTCTTCAAAATCTGCTTTGGAGGACTGGGGGACCCTGCAGAGCAAATCTGGGGTGTGAGTGAAGGTTGCAGGGAGGAGAGGGATGAGGAGAGGGATGACTTGCTGCATGAGCACAAGTCTGCCAGTGCAAGTTTGGATTTTGCTTATACATGTATGATCTAGCCAAGATTCTTGCATTGCAGGGAGTTGGACTAGATGACCCTTGGGGTCCCTTTCAACCCTATATTTCTATTATTCTAATACACTGAGGCTTACAGAGACTCTCCCATTAGTAAAAAGCTTCTTCATTTCTAGCATATTGAAAGAGTGTCACATGACAGAATTGACTGCATATTCAGAGAAGCTCTTTCATTTGCACAAGTTCCTTCTCAAGAGATTCTTATAGCCTACTAGAGTTTCATGCTACAGCCTGCATCTTCCTTATTTATCATGGTTGTCATACTATAACACAACCTCTGATGCACTGTGGTGCCTCACTGTGAGAAGTCTTACACTCCCTTGCCAAGCAGCACATTGAATAGCACCAATACATTTTCTCCCTCCACTCCTAGTACTTTGCATCCAAGACACAGTGTGTGATAAGATATTTATAAGTACTAGCTACATTACCATATTAATAAGCATACTTCAAGGTTGCAAACCTATACCTTTACTTTGTCAAAGGCCAACCACACTGAGCTCTATTGTTCATGTCTGCAACATGAAGAGCTGTTCTAATATATCACAACAAAAACTTGCAATTTTTTAGTGCCTGACATACTTTTCTCTGAAAGCATGCACTGACAATCAGATCCTCTAACACCTATGTACAGTGGTGCCCCGCAAGACGAATGCCTCGCAAGACGAAAAACCCGCTAGACGAAAGGGGTTTCTGTTTTTGAGTTGCTTCGCAAGACGATTTTCCCTATGGGCTTGCTTCGCAAGACGAAAACGTCTTGCGAGTCTTGCGATTTTTTTCGCTCCCCCCCTTCTTCTAAGCCGCTAATACCCTTTTAGCCGCTAAGCCGCTAAGCCTTTAATAGCCGCTAAGCCGCTAAACCGCTAATAGCCCTAATCCGCTAAGCCGCTAATAGGGTTGCTTCGCAAGACAAAAAAACCGCTAGATGAAGAGACTCGCGGAACGGATTATTTTCGTCTTGCGAGGCACCACTGTATCACATTCTGAACTGCTGTAACCTCCTTTGAAACGATTACTAAAAGGTGACCAGAAAACTTTGACACCATGGAAATATCCTATTAGGCGTTTAAGAACCAAATCACTCTCACTTATTCAGCCTCACCTCTTTCTTGTTTAAGCCCCCTGAACAGCATGTCAGGGCTCAGGGGACCTCCACTTTTATAAGCTGCTTTCCCCCAATTTTTACCCATTCCGACTCCCAGTCAAGACTGCACCACATTGAAGACCTTTCCTGAGGGTGTAGTGGGAAGGAGAGGGCAGGAAATCCCCAATAAAAAAGCATATGTCTGCTCAAGTAACTTAGATACAAACCTATGTAGTCTTATCCACTATACCTTGTAATAATCAAACTTTCCATCACTGTTCACTTCCACCAATTCAGTGATTGCATTAACTTCATCTGGGGTCATTTTTTCACCTCTCTAAAAAAAAAAAAAAAGTCAGCTTCACTTGCAAAGCAATGAAGGAAAAACACTGCAATATTTAGTTATTATGCCTCCCCACAAACAGTAATGATTTATTAAAGCTTAAACATATTTCCTCTGTGGTTTATTTGAATTGTTAAACGTATCAGTCCTAACTACCCTTTGAGGTACTTACAGTTGTAAGAAGTTTATGCAGCTCACTATGTAAAATACAGCCCTCATTATTTACATCTATTTTTGCAAATGCTTTGAGCAGCTCTGTTTTCCTAACAGGTTCTTCTTGTTTTAAGATGAAGCAAAAATCATCAAAATTCAGTGTGGTGGTTTGCAGCGTCCAGTATTTATTAACTGTCTTCTGAGATGGATTTCTTCCAGCTTGCTGAAGTACTGCAAAATAAAGCAAAAAAAAAAAAAAAAAGCATTTAGTGACACTGACAAGACTGTGTATATATCATTTTCTTAAAACACTCTAAGTAGATACTACTGCAAATTACTCTTTTCTACTTCTGTAACCCCACTGTGCATTAAAGGCCCACCAGTGCAATTCCAGGAGGTATTTAATAGCTAGTATTTGTGCAATCTTTCCTGATGCAGCAAGTGCTGGTGCAAGAACAATGTGACTACCAGGGCTGGTCCAAGACATTTTGGCACCCGAGAGTGAACTACAAAATGACCACTAGCAGGGGGAAAAGGAATGAATGAAGATCTACAACAGGAACAAGAGGGTAATAAGTATATATATTGGAAAGAAGGGTGGGAGGAGACAAAGTAGTGCCTCCGATTTGCCAAAAGGCTGCTGTAGAGGCATCATGGGGGAGCGCAGCTGTCAAGGAGGCAGCGCATCCAGCCTCCAAGGATGTTCTGCAGCTGTTGCTGATATTATGCTTAAGAGCTTGAAACTGCCTAACGGAACTTTCAGCTTCTTTTCCTTTTTAATAGCAAACCCCAATGATGAGTAACAAACTACTTTTGAATTCTGCCTATATTCCAAAATAGTTTGTCCGGAAGGCTTTTGTTTTAAAAGTGAAGTCTAAAGGCCTGTTGGGCATTTGAACCTAGTTGCATGGGTTGCTGAATTGTGGTAATTGCCTGCAAGGTACATTTTGCTATGTGGTTGGGTTTAGCTTCTTGGGAGGCAATTTGGCATCCCTCTTCAAGATGATATTCAAGTAAAAAAAAAAAAACACTTTAAAACTCCAACTCTCTTGAAATATATTGTGAAATTCTGCTGGGTGGTATATTATTTATACTTACTGGGAACTCAGTACTTTCTGTGAACTGCTAACTAGTCTCCTCAGACTATTTTTATAAGAAGTTCTTTTCTTGTACTCTTTAAATGTACCTGATAAAAAGACTTGGACTCTGATAAGTGTCTACAGAGACATTTTAGCTCAGGACATTACATTACATTTCATAAAATAAGTACAACTCATATAAACAAGAGTTTGAAGAACCAGGTTGTAGATTACAAAGCAGAATCTGTGTTATTAATCAAACTCCATATAACCAATGCCATTCTGGTGATTTTATTCCTAGCTAGAACTGAACTCTAAGCCTCGACACAAATCTGTAATGGGCTAAAACATGTTTGTTTGTTTTTTCTAAAGATCCAGACATCTCGTTAAGAATATGGAAAGCTTGAACTCTCCGTTGTCTTTCCTAAACTGACCTTGAAGTGCACATGGCCAAACACATGCCCTGTTCCCAAGTGACATATGGACAGAGATGAAAGAAATAGCATAAAAAGAGCAAGTGAGCATTTGTTCACACCATTCATATTTAAAATCCAGATTATATGATGCTAACACAGATTTACAAACTGATTCTACTAGCCTGATATTAGAGTCACACCATGTAAGGCTAATGTATAAGAACTTTGACTCTGAAACCATCAGAGTATTGTGTAAAAATGTAGAAGGTGGGATGTAAAGGACATTGATCCTTTGATGTATATTGATGCCAATATATAACTAATTAATAGCATCAACTGCAAAGAAAAGACATTACAACAGGATGCAGTGTTAATCAAATTTTTATACTTTTGTTCTCTTTTAAACTTATGCTACTGTCTATGTAACATTCCAATGCACCACCAATAATCTGTTCCACAGGTGAATTTGTGTACACAACCATGTCTTTACTGTCCATTCTGTCTCCTATGTCATTTAGTTTCTATATGAAACCATTGGGAGCTGTCATCTGGGGATTTGGAACATGGTGTCATAAGTATGCTGATGACACGTGGCTTTATTTCTCCATTCCATCAGAATCAGGAAAGGCTGCAAAAGTGTTGGACGGGTATCTGGAGGTAGTGATGAACTGGATGGGGGCCAAAAAAACTGAGGTTGAATCCTCATAGAAGTGCTGTAGATGGGTAGTTCCCATGTCTGGTCATTAAGTGTACATCCTGTGCTGAGCAGCGTTTTGCTACCCTTGAATATGAGGTTTGCAGTTTAAGAGTATTCCAACTTATCACTGGATTCCAACTTGTTAATGGAGTCTCAAATAGCTTCTGCGTCTAGGAGTGCTTATGCCCAGATTAGGCTGGTTCATCAGCTATAGCTGCTCCTGGACTGGGACAACTTGGTCTCAGTTGTCCATGCTATAGTGATCTCCTGCTGGGACCACTGTAATGTGTTCTATGTGTGGCTGTCCTTGAAGATGGTCCAAAAGCTGCATCTAGCACAGAATGTGGTGGCTAGGTAGATAAATGGGGCAGTCCAATGAGACCCCAGTTCTGAAAGGACTGCACCGACTACCAGGGAGTTACTGGGCTCAATTCAAGCATTAGTACTACCATATAAAGCGCTAAATGGTTTCAGACCCAAGTACTGAAAAGAGCATCTTCCCCAATACCAACCATATCAGACTATGATTGGCAAGCGAGGCCTCACTGTTGGTGCCACCACTGGGAACTACCTGGTTGGCACTGAGCTGTTGCAGGGCCTTTTCATTGGTGGTCCCTCAGTTGTGGAATGCCCTGTCTAGTAAGGTGTGCCTGTCTCTATGATTATAAACTTTCTGCAGAAATTTGAAAACTTTCCGAGCCCCACACTGAGCAAACGATTCCTGCATTGAAGGGGGTTGGATGAGACGACCCCCATGGGCCCTTCCAACTCTACAAGTCTATTATTCTATATCATGCTGGAATGATTTTTTTAAAAAAGAAACTGATGCCTTGGTTTAAAATTAATTTGCAACTTTTCCCATGAACAACAAAATTATACTGATTTATATAGCATAGCTATTAATCTATGCATGCAGAATGAGTAGGGTTGTGTCCTTTCTGTGTATCCATCAAAAACAATATGCAAAGTGGCTATTATTTTTGCCACTCAGTGGAAATAAACTTACTTCTCCTCACCTTTCCTAAGGAGAAGAGAGTTCGGTACAGATACTGTTTTGAACACAGTAAGATGCTTGGCCTGATTTTCTTTCCTTGGGCCCCCCTAGTGTGTCCCCTAGTGTGCAGCAAGGGTAGGACACCTGGGGTTCTCCCTGAAGCACTTCAGTGAGTGTCCACCCAACAGTGCTTTGATTATAGAGAAATATGGCACATGAATCATATCAAGGTTTCTTAGATCCATTAAAACAGTTAACATGTGCAAGATACTATAAGGACTCAAATATATTATCCACTGCTGGAATTCAAGATTTCTCCCAAACTGATAACAACTTAAAAAAATACACTCACCCAAACACAGTTGTTCTTTTGATTTAATGTTTTCTAAGCTGCTTTTGAAGACAGCTAAATAGGCTGCTCTGCAGTTCTTATAAAATGTCTCCTCTTCATAATTCTGGGATCTTTTTGCTTGAGAACATTCCTGGGATGGGGTCTGATCACTGAAGAGGGATGCATTGCTCTCCTGACTGCCAGCCATCCTGTGAATAATGCAAACATATCTAGAGCCTATTTCTTTTATTTGCATATTTCAGTATCACATCACCATCTGTCCATCCCTCTCAGGTGGGAGGGAGTGTTTACTGGACTTTGCTGTGAGCTTCTGCTTCTGCAAAAACGGGAATAGTCTGCAAATATGCTTTGACATATATGTTTGCATTTCTTTTTAGACTATTTATATACCTTTGATAGCCATCATTTTCAAAGCCATTCACAATAATAAAATCAGATTTGCAGGTGTCTCATATTGCCCTCACAATGATATACCCAGCATACCACACACTGTCTAATCTACAAAATGATATTGTATGGCTCCTTGTTCTGTTTCTATCAAAAGCTGTGGCAATGAAGGGTGGTCTGTGGAGTGGAGTTGTTTTTCAAAGCCTCCTTTCCCCAGTCCCTGAGGTTTTCCTGCAGCCGCTACAGTGGCTGAAAATTTTGCAGAAAGTATCATTGGCTCCCAACTCTTAGAACTCTTCAGAGAAATGGGGTTTCTCTACCCAGCTTCCAGAGAAATAGAGTTTCTCTACCTGGAGTTCCTCTGAAACAGCCGGGAAATTCTATTACATAAAAGTTTACACATTACACTGTAACACAGTATAGATGCAGTGGAGAATGAGGCATGAAGGTGGGATTATTATGGCAGGACATCCCATAATGACTAAGACTTGCTCTGCAACAAAGTATTTTTTACCTTATCTTTTTAAAATCCATCTCATGCCTGGCATGAGTGCATAGTAGGTACAAGAAAAACACCCAAAATTCTTGTACTTGCAAGCTCCCTGAGTTGTGTGCATCTGCTGTCTCACACCAGAATCAGCTTTTGGCATACCACTGAAAATGCCATTTCCCCAGTATCTACCAGTGTGCGTTGAAAGATGAATCCTGCATGTGGCTGGCAGGTGCACTTGACCAGCTGCCCGCGGGCGAGCAGCCAACATGTGCTGGATTGCCATGTGAATAGGCTTCTCGTTCTATTGAAATGGATTTGATTAAACACAAATCCTGGCTTTGATGAAATGTATGGGAATTTCTGTCCCTAGCAAAGGCAACATTTCCACCTTAAGCTGTTCTAAAACTGGTGGTTTATAAGGTAGTGGTTTCCAAACCTTTGACCTTCAAGGTACCATTTCCACAGCAACTCATCTGTCAAACAAGCCCTGAACATCCACCATGAAGCTCCCTGCATTGTAAGTGATTCTGGGGCATGTTCTAGAATAAGCTCAGCTAATACAATGCACTAGTTTACCTTACCATTGCCCCATGCACTGTACCCTAAACACACTCAACACTTTCCTGTGGCTCTTTGTTGCAGGGAAATGACTACTCTAGGAAGCTTGTTCACCACTGCCATTTTTTTCACCAAGGAAACCAGATTAACCTCAAAGGAAGCTCAAGGATTCTCCTAAGAATGATCTGAAAATCCAAGGTTTAAATATTAAGGTGTGCACAGTGGCGTAGCGTGGGGGGTGCAGGGGGTGCCGGCCGCACCGGGCGCAACATCTGGGGTTAGGGCAAATCCACGGGTTAGGGGGCGCAAATCCACAGGTTAGGGGGCGCAAATCCACGGGTTAGGGGGCGCAAATTACTTGCCTTGCCCCGGGTGCTGACAACCCACGCTACGCCGGTGGGTGTGCAACAGCAGAAGTGTGAACATCTTGAGAGGGAATGGGTAGAAACTACTTCATTAACCTTTACATTCAAGATTCTAACAGGACTCTTCTCCAGGTCAGCTGTGTAAATCAGGAATTCACCTGAATAAAGAAGGACAATCACACTGGAACACAGTAAGAGTGTTTAGGTAGACCAGAAGAAATCTGGAACAAACAGGCAAAGGGTAGGTTAATCAGGATTCAGGTGAGATAGGAGGCTCACCAAAAAAAAGAGCAACAGAATAAAATATAAGATGCTGCCACACACTGAGTCATGCCGATGGGCCATCTAATTCAGGTACCTGTTTTATTTCCTCCATGAGACTGATAGCATCTTTGTGGGGGGATTATTTAGATTAGAAAAGTTGTGACTTCAGAAGCAGGGGAAATGTAGCACCTGATTCTATGTACAGCTGACTGAGTGATTAGGCTACAATTTTATGCATGCTTATATGAAAGTAATGTCCACTGAAATTAATAATATTACTTTCTTCCAAATAAATGGGTTATAGGCATGAGGGTGGCAGTCTGATTGTCTTTGGGGCAGTTTATTTCAAAAGGGCCAAGTGGATTTAAATGCAAGTGTTCTAACTTAATGGGTTTGTGAATTGGGCAGCCCATCACATGCAGTAGTTGCCTGGATGAAGAACCTAATAGCGCAACAGAAGAAAATTGTATAGAATAAAAGGACCACATAAATGCATTTTCTTTTTAAATAATTGATATAATTCTGCACAGCCTTTCCTCACGTATGGTTAGTAAATGTCAATAGTAATTTTCTTCTATAACAAAGGTGATGAGGGTTTTTAGAAGGCCATCACAGAGGGGCATTAAATCGTGTGCTACTGTTGGTCTAACAGCCTGCAACATTATTTTATCCAGTGCTGACTTCTGAAAATATATTCCACTATAATAAATTGAATATTTCAAGTTCAACAACAAGACAACAACATAGGTAGGGTCCCCTTCAGGACTCATTGGAGCCTTACTCAGGAGGCCTAAATCACTCGCACCTTCTTGAGTTATATAGGCCTTTTACACTTGGGAAAGAAAGATAATAATCGCTTATCATGGATGAAGTACCCTATTTATAATGCACAGACCGCCTTGCCTGACAGTTTCATATTACAGTGGCATAAGAAGGACCCAACAGGGACACAGTCCAGTTACTGCAAACGGGTGTCACTATAATAATTAAGCACCAGTGTTAGCACACACAAAGGAAAGCGAGTTCTAGCCAATGAGGGAAAAGAGAATAAATGTTAATTTTCCAGTAACCAGTTTTATCAAATATGAACACTTGTTTATGCTCCTCAGTTCTCTCATTACTTAGCCATTTCTTATTTGGGCAGCTGTGCAGCACAGAGATGTTTCCAATATGTTACTCAACGTACAGCATGCAAGAGTTATTTAGTAGAGGGAAGCTCTCTTGCTAAGGTTATTAAAATATAAACTTCACTGATAGTGCACTACAGAAATATAGACTAGGGAACAATTTTGTAGCATCTACTGTTGGTGGCTGTAGACAATCTGACTGAATTTTCAAATTCTAATTTCTGTTATTTCAGCATAGAATAGATGGCATTAAAATCTCACACCTACATTTCCCCCCATTATTTATTTAAAATAACTGCCCTTTCCAATTGTACTTCTGTGCCAATGCAGGCAGACTGGAACACACCATACACTTCCAGGAGCCAGCCTCAATTTAAATTGAATGTACTTGGGAGTTAGAGCATGTCCAAATGATATTCTTCCTGGGACCTGAATGTACTAGATGCAGCATGTCCAGTTCCAACAAAGGAAGACTTTGCCAGTCCCCACACCTGTCTACACTTGTGGCATTACAGTATCAGGCAATGTTTTTTTACACAGAGGAATACTGAACAACACCTTCCACATACTATGTCCTTTTCTCAAACACTGCTTACTAAGTGCCTACTTCCAAACAGAGTAAACATTCCATAAATGCTTACCGGTATATTTGTAAATAAGTTCAATTAAAATACTTGGGATTGAAGTACACTGCGAAAATATTCACTCTGAATGACCATTTCCTAGACTCCAAAGTCAAAATCGATGACCAGGAGCAAGACGCTAATTAGCCCTCAGTGCACACAGAGGAGAAGACTGGGTGATGTGATGAACAGAAGAACAAGGTAATAGGCATAACGGCTGTATCCTAATTTTAATACATTAAATTTTATGGGTAAATGCTGCCAAAATTTGCTTGCATTATTGTGGAAAGCTGGCTGCCTAAGAACTCTCCCAATACTTAATGAAGGAAGAAGTTTTCCCTGCTAACACAACTCATTTGTGTGATACAATATTACAGAGGTCCTGAAGAGAAACAGTGTTTGGATTATTCTCAGCAGTACACTCCTTCTGCAAAAGCCATGGGCATAGCCAGGATATTGTTAGGGGGCAGGGCTTTTGTTAGTGGGGCAGGCCTTTTGTTGGGGGGGGCAGGACCTCAGTTTGCTATGTATTTTTACTGATTTGGGGGGCAGCTGTCCCCCGTCTTGGCTACACCCATGTGAAGCCACATTCTTTCAAAAGGCCCTTACAGACCAATCCATGTTTACTCAGAAGTAAGCCCCATAATTCTGTGTGATTTATTTTCAGATAAATAAGCACACAACTGTAAGCACACAAGTAAGCACACAACTGCAGTGAAAATTCTCTGTGGAGATGTTAAAAATCTGCATAGACTCAATGCAACTAAGGGGGAAGTGGGATCAAGCCTTCTATCCCTACCTCCAGCCTCCAGTGTACAAGTTATACATGCATGACTGCACGAGTTTCATGTACACAGGAAGTCAACACACAGGACACCAGGGGTGGGAAAGACAGGGAACAGGGCTTAAATCAGACGAGACACTGTCAACTGCACAGACAATTCCTTATTCTACCATGCAGACCAGCCCCTAAATCAGTGCGTGCAGTTGACAAGTGTTGCGTGGTTTGGGAGGATGACATACTGAATCATCTGATTCAAGGATTGTAAGCAAATTGTAACCCTAGAGCAGGCATGTCCAACAGGTAGATCTGGTAGATCGCGGGGTGTTCCTGGTAGATCTCTGGCCCCTCGGTGATCTCCTTCTCTCCTCCCCAAAAAAACCTCAACAACTCAGGCTTCCTAAAAAAGCTCAAGAACTTTGGTCCATCCAACGACAATGGGTAGATCACTTCCAGTGTTTTTATACTGTGAGTAGATCACAGTCTATTGGGAGTTGGATGTCCCTGCCCTAGAGTAAGGCACATCTAGTTACCACTTCTCTACAGTTTCCTTGCCCAAACCCCAGTGAACCAGCTCCTACCATAGTAAAAGATGTCGCAACATTTTATGGTACTTTTTTGGGGGGGATCATGTGAAGCGCCCTAATATCTTGTGATGAGGGGCGGTACATAAATGTAATTAATTAATTAATTAATTATCACCAGTGCTATTTTTTTTTATAGAAAAAGAAGTGCAGGAGCTCACTAGGAACGCTTCCCTTCTTCTTCTCTTAGGATAGAAATGGCGCTCACCTGAGAGTCGCCGGAACTGAGTTCCTGTGAGTTCCCTCTGGGGGGAAAAGCCCTGGGAAAAGCACAGGGCTTGGGCTGTGATCTGCATAAGTACTGTACATCTAGGCACCAGCAGAAAAAGCCATTTCCTCATCTCTGCAGAGGAATAGCTTCCCAGCCACCACCACCCCAAAAAAAAATTTACCTGAGAACATAAGAAAATGCACGCACTCCCAGTTTACCCCCCAAAAGCGGCAAACTACTCGACCGTGACACGATTCAGAAAGGAACAGAACGCCGCTGCCTCTTTATTTGGACCAACCCGGATCTTAAATCCGAATTCCGTGACTTGAAGCCACTTCGCTTTTGCAAGTCCTTGACACGCTTGTGAGAACAGCCGTTATAACCGTGGTGATAATGAGAGGGGCGGAGGTTGTGAGGGGGACGCGGAGAGAGAGAGAGAGAATATAAAGGACGATGAGACGAGAAGCAAATGAGAAGAAAGTCCGACCTGGCCTTGGGCGTTTTTTTTTGCGGCCCTGCCTTCTTTGTCGCCGTCGCCTAGTAACCCGCGTCTGCCTTTGCCAGGCCGGGCCGAGACCCGGAGCTTCCAGGGCCCGCCTTCTTCTTCCCCGCAGACTGGCCGTGTTTCTACCCGGAGCGCTTTGAGAGCTGCACGGCGGGAATCTCAGTTTCGAGGGCTGGGAAGGCGAAGAAGTTCGTCGGGCGCCTGGCATGCCGTGAGTCGCGGGCGGGGTGAGGGGTAGCTGGATAGACGGGCCCACGGGGCTTGGTGGGCCCACGGGGCATTTCATCCCCCCCTACACCCCCCTTCCCTCCCTTATGTGCATTTCATTTCAATTGGAGAGAGCCAGAGTTTAGCCCTATGTAGGTTTTTTGTATACCTGTTTAGGGAAGTTTTAAATGTTTTATGTTTTGTCGCTTTTTATTATTATTATTTATATTCTGTTGGGAGCTGCCCAGAGTGGGCGGGGTACATAGCTGTCAACGTTTCCCTTTTTTAAAAGGGAAATTCCCTTATTCCGAATAGGATTCCGCACAAGAAAAGGAAAAAGTTGACAGCTATGGCGGGGTATAAATAATATATTATTATTTTTATTATTCAAGGCTGAGGGCTTCCTTGCACTGGTCTTCGTCTACTACTCCAACAAGTTCTCGACGCAATGGGAGTACATTAGTAGTGCTTCGGTTTCTTTTGTGGTGTTTCTCCAATTAGGCTACTGTAATATGTATCCCTTTTATGTCTCTGAGCACATCAAAAGTAGGACAGAAATATAAGCAGGAACCGTTGTGGTGTGAAAAGCTGTTTTATTTCAGCTGCTGGTTGTTTACGGCTGGATACGCACGGGTTGGGAATGAAGCGGTGTGACTGCTGCCCCCACAAACTGCCATCTCATTGTGAATGCTCAATAAAAAGGACCCATGGAAGGGAACCTTAGGAAGAAACAGGGATGGCAGATATGCGTCCAAGCCAGAGCCAGCCCTGTCATTAGGCAGGGTGAAGCCGCTGCCTCAGGTGGCAGAACACACACCCCGGTGCCCCATCGCCACCATTGGTTTGGTGCCGATTGGGGGCAAGATCATGTCCATCTCGCCCCAAATTGGTGAGAGCTTGCCCAGAGTCGGCGCCGATGGTGGTGCCACTTCTCTATCAGTGACAGATGTGACAAAGCTCGCAGCAAAACGGGTGGCGATGGCAGGAGCAGGTAGCTGGTGTGGGAGTGACAGCAGTGGCAGGGCAAGGCATCACTTCCCATTTCTCCTCAAGTGGTGAAACAGGATGCAGCGCCCCTGCTCTGAGCATATGTAGAGTGTTTTCTGCTTACCAATACAAGCTTAGTCAGACCCTACAGTGTGTGGGATTGCTTGCTACAGAATAGGTGAAAAGATATGCTTTCCAGGCACAAAGCCATTTTAAGTATGTTTTCTCAGTTGAAAATCCCACTAAGGACAGAGTCCTGATCTCACTTTCCTGGGAGTTAGCCCCATTGAATACAGTCTGACTTACTTCAGACTAGATGTGGTTAGGGTTGTGCTTTGAGTTTAATGAGACTTATCATTAAGTGGGTTTAGGTCTGCAGCATTGCCCAAGACATTAAACACAAGTGTTTGAAGATACAGAATTAAGAGTATGTAATAAAAATCCTGCTGTTCCATCCGTTTTCCAGGTACACCCCCCACACTTTATATTTTGTTGCATATTAGTGTTCATTGAAGCTGTACCTAAATGTGTTTCTCTCATACATTAGTTTTGTTTGTTTGTTTGTTTATTATCGATACATGTAGCACCAGGCGTTCTATATAGAGCTAGAAAGAAAAGTCCCTGTTCTGACAAGCTTATAGCCAGACAGAACAATTCAGGGAGCCTTTGGCGCAATGGGTCAGTGCATCTGGCTGTTAACCAGAAGTTTGGTGGTTCAGGCCCACCCAGGGACAGCTGTGGGCAGGATTCCTGCATTGCAGGGGGCTGGACTAGATGACCCTGAGCGTCCCTTCCAACTCTACAATTCTATGTTTCTATCTGGGCAGATAGACTTGTGCATATCTTGTGTGAGGTGGGCTACATCCTAACTGATGGGGCTGGGATGGCATTGTATACCTTCATTATCTGCCCTTCCATTGTCTACAATGAATCAGAATCAGGCAGCTGCGTCCGTTCCTCTGAAGCAGACCACCTTAAGATCAGGGACGCGGACTTATAAAAAATATTGGGGGGGGGGGCCGGGAAAGCTCATGAATAATAGATAAGCTCATGAATATGCAAATAAAGTGGCGCCGCCTCCTCGTGAGCGAATAGGGGAGAGCGTGCTGCGCCTATTAATCAGCTCCAAAGGAAATTGGGTGGAGCTTTTGCTCGGGAGGGAGGGCAGGAGGCATGCAGCCCGCCCCTCCCTGTGCATTTTGGGCTGGGGGAGGGGCGGCGATGGCGCTCTGCTGGAGGGGCGCTGGAGATTATTGGGGGGGCAGAGCCCCCCCAAACGAATTTTTGAGGGGGCTCGGGCCCCCTCAAGCCCCATGGAGTCGGCGCCTATGCTTAAGATGATAGGAATTGGTGGGGTAGTGCATATGGAGGGGTCAATAGACGTTTAAGGCATGCTGTCTTTGAGTACAATCATGGAGATGACTGCTGTTAGAAGAGTTGGTCATAACCTCTTCAGGGTATAGCGTACGCTTCTCAGAACACTGCTGACTATCTCCAAAGTGGGGTGGGGTTTGCTGGTTTCCTTTGTCATTAAAAATAGTGTTGGAGAGAAGAATAATGGGCCTGGCTTCTCCTCAAGTCCTACAATAGTTCAATCCCAAATCTAAAGTAGTATATCATGGTTACGGAAGTTCTGATAAGAAGTGTATGGAAGACAACTAGTGTTGCTGTGAGTAATGAATAAGCTATCACAGAGCACACTCCTAACCAATCCCCTGACGCTGATGGCTGGAAGGAGTTAGGATCGTGGCCTAGTGTCTCTACCAGCAGAGAGGAGTGCTGCCAGTGCAGATTATCTCTGCCATGGTGGAGACCCCAGTTGCACCCAGGCAGGTGGATAGTGTTAAGCCTCAAAATGAGGCATTACAAGGGCAAGCACCAGATCCAAAGCCCCGTAGAACTGGGTCCCTCAGCCACATGAGCCTGCAACTAGCATATCGAAAAAGGAAAAAAATGCCCTCCACCTTTGTCCCTGGTTGGTGTGTGCTGAGGTGGCAGGACTTAGGATCCAGTGGTGGATATTGCACCCCACTCTTCTTTGAGCCCACTTAGGATTGCTCTGCCACTCATTAGTTACCTCCTTTAAGTACATTGACAAATAGTGAGCATAACCAACTATAACTTATGAATGGATAGATGGGATGGAAGGATGAAGACATTTCCCCAAAGGGTCCATCTGCCATACCATTCCATGGAACTGGTAAACAGAAGCATTTAGCTGTTGCTCTTCCTGGACTCCTAAGTTAAACTAACTTTGTATGCAGTCCTATACATATACTGTGTTTATTTGTGAATACATCTCATTGAACTCAATAGGACTGATTCATGCCTAGATATGCATAGGACTGCATTGTTAGTCTCTATCCAACCCAGAGTCAATGATGACTAGAATTCACATTTTCATGCATTTCCTTTGTTCAACTGTGGCAGTCTAGTTTGAATGACAGGCTAGTCCATCTTAAATATAATTTATTTTCTGATACTGATATCCTATGAGGCATAAACAGTGATGTGAAATAAACAAATTCTTCTAATGCGACTTTTTTCATAGTGGAGCCTTGAATGAATTTCCTGCCCTTTAAATTGGCACTAGTGCTCCTACCTGCCTCTGTTACTGTTAGTGCATTGGGGAGGCAAGCATTTATGTTGGGCACAGTGGTAGTTGGTGCCTGTTTGGACTTGTAGGGTGGAAGGCAAGGAGGCCACCAGTAGGTGGAGCCAGAGCTAATGGCAGGTAGTGCCTACTAATTCTAGTTTTGTCCCCATCCTTTTCGCTGAGTTCCTGCTGCTTTGCCCCCCGCCCCTTGTTTAGCTGCTGTGCAAAGTCACTGTTTTATTTGCAGGTTGTCCAGACAAACCCTAAGCTATAAACCATAGGACAAAATTTGATTATAGCTCATGGTTAATCTGCAGAAAGCTAAACCATGATCCCACAGGCTAAACCAAACCATGGTTTAGCCCAGCATGGCACAGCAGTAAAATGGCGGTAATCTCCTCTCCAGGAGCCCATGCATTGTGTGACGTCCAAACCAGGCCTGTAACTACTCCCAGCCAAAGTCACTGGAAGATTTTAAATAGCATAGTGCTTGACCATTCTGCCACTTTTTTTGTCAAGTCTTTTTTTTCCAGGTTGCTATAATTTAATGTGATTTTCATGTAGTTTTTCATTTATCCTAATCATAAAGCTACCTTGAGTCCAGATTCAGCTGTACTTTGGCTTCCAGCTTCCTCTGAAGTCCGTCATAAAAACTTCCATCATAGCATGCCTTAGTATAGCATGCAAATACATGGTCCCCTAGAGCACCTTTGCAGAGTGAATGTATTAGCGTATAAAATGTTTCTCTGCTGCCATTGGGGTGGAAGATGTAATGGAGTCTACATTCCTTAAGCAATATGAGGCACTATATTTAAAAAGAAACATGATGTTAAGAATTTTTGTCAAACTGTTTCAGCTTTGACTGTCCCTTGGCAAGAATGTGGATGGCTTTTTAATATAAAAAAATGTAAATCTTGCACAGTATAGTTAGTCTGCTTTTTAAGACAAAAATGTTTTTCAGTGATCTATTTTCAACATAAGGTGTTAAACTGGAACTAGCATAGTACAGTCATGTTTCAAATATGCTTTTAAACTTTCTTTCTATGGTTCACCTTGAAGAATGACAAGGTTACAAAAATGCTTTGAGTGAAATCATTTCAGACTGTGGCCCTGCTGGAA